CCCCAAAACCCCAAAACCCCAAAACCCCAAAACCCCAAACAAGCATGCACTGATTGAAAGTCTCAAAGCTCAACAATTAAGGTCTGTATGGGGTTGGCTACCATAACCCACTCTCCTGTACTCCTCCTTGGCACTTGCCCATACACATTCTGCTTTGGCTCTTACTGTACGACTCCATAATTATCTGCTCTGTCCCGTTCGATGAATCTTCTTCTGCCATTAATCTTTTCTGCAGTCTTGGTCCTTTCTTTCACTATAAGAACACAGATGGTCAGGTCCAAATTTTCCTAGAAGCTTACTTGAAATAAAATTTGACTTGACAAATTTCAACCTCTGCTGTTTCTGACTTGTCGTATTCCGTTCTATAAATGGTCGCTGCTGAACCTACCTATAGACCTGTAATGAGGCTTGCGTTTATACCCATGGTGGGAGAGCCCAGGGCTCTCCCCATGCTCATAGGTATTATGCTCGCCTCTGTAAAAGGCCGTAATAGGATCGTTCTTGGGCTGTGCACGTTCATAGTTAAACGAAACCTGGTCAAAGTCACTATGAGTCTCAACCTTTGAGCTGTGTCCAACTTTTCTCCTCAATTTCTGTTTCAAGTGTTTTGAAGTGTTCAAATGAGAATCTATTGACCTGTTCAAAGCAGCTAGCTTAGATTTCTTTTTAGCAGGAGATTTTGTCACGATGCAAGCGTTCTCCAGGTTATTTTATAAACTGATTCATTACTTTTAGGTAGTTGGTGATGTTGTAACTCTTAGCAAACTTAGTTTTCTCAGCCATTCTCCTTGCATCCTTAATAAGCGGCCTGTACCTTGCCTCTGTGAAGATCTTTTTAATGAGGATCTCGATAAAATCAGGAGAGAGGATAAAATCTTCAGAATAGTTGAACTGATAATTCACAAATTTAACAGGAGTTGTATAGATAACTTTTAGATCTTTTAGCTTGTCATTAAAATTTATTTTCCTTGACTTAATCTGAAATTTTGGAGGAGTTTCTTTCCGTTTACCTGGATTATCACGCTCCTCATCATAGATTGACACACGCAAACGGACCCTTTGCTCTTGAGTATCTTTTGATAGTTCTATGGACTCTATGGATTAGTTATGAAATACGCTCAATATCCTTTATAATTGATTTTAACTGTTTATTCTTTGTTATTGGTACATTTTCATAATCTTCCTGGTAGTGAACATCATCTAAACAAAGGATAAAAAATTAGTCTAGATCCCTTCTCTTTCAACTTAGGAAGGATCTCAGGTATAAAACAATGATTCCAGAAGGATTTTAAGTATGCCTTACCCTCATCATCTCGGTCAGGCTCATAACGAATAGTTATAGGATTTCCTTCTAGGACAGGAAATAATCTCATCGCCTGTTCTTTAATGTGCTTTACATTCAAATTTTCTTCCCGAATCTTTAAATTCCTCTCATGTCGTTCATAAATAAAGTTGAAGTACATGACTTTGCTCTTGATTTATTTCAATAATATTTAACCAAAACGGGGTTTTGGGGTTTTGGGGTTTTGGGGTTTTGGGGTTTTGGGG